CCCCCCCTTGCCCATTCGGTCTTTGGACGGCTTTAGCAACGGTCCGTGCGCAGCGCCCGCCAGCAAAGCTCGTGCTAATCTTATTGCCTTCTTCTTTCCGTCTTTCGCCAAGCACAAACCGTCGTAGTCCATTTCCAGCAGTTTGAACATGTCCGTGGGTTTGACGCCAGCCGCCACCCACTTGCGGGCGTCATCGAATCTCTCGTCGACCACTGTGGGCGGCAGGACTTTAGCCTGGGCTCTTGAGACGCTCCCCCGGGGATTGTGGTTGTATTTGCAGAAGGACTAGCGCGCACGATCAGATTTAAAACGAACGTTAAACGCACAAGAACCGCCCCAAGAAACGGAAAAAAAAAGCACCGGGAAAGTCAAGGACTNCCAAGCACAAACCGTCGTAGTCCATTTCCAGCAGTTTGAACATGTCCGTGGGTTTGACGCCAGCCGCCACCCACTTGCGGGCGTCATCGAATCTCTCGTCGACCACTGTGGGCGGCAGGACTTTAGCCTGGGCTCTTGAGACGCTCCCCCGGGGATTGTGGTTGTATTTGCAGAAGGACTAGCGCGCACGATCAGATTTAAAACGAACGTTAAACGCACAAGAACCGCCCCAAGAAACGGAAAAAAAAAGCACCGGGAAAGTCAAGGACTGCAACAACGCCCGTCGGAACAGGGAAAACGGGATTCCTGACGGCAGCGACGAGGCTTGTCATCATCACGCACGGCTCAAGTAGATATTTCGTGTGGCCTGAGGGTTGGTATTTGGATACGCAGAGAGGCACTCGCTTGGCATGCACACGAGCATGTCGAACGAACGACCGTCAGATGAAAAGAAATCAGAAAATACGGCGACAGAATTACTCGTTGGAGTACAAAAACACGGAGTAACGGATGACGACACCGCAAAAAATGAAACGAAACGAATAGACGACAATAAAAGAACGATAAAAGAACGGCGACAATTTCCCGAAGAAAAGATCACGTCAACCACGAAAACAGGTACCCCATATAGGTCACGTAGCTGTGACAGCGGCAGCAAATAAGGGCGAGGTACGATACAAGCACATAGGCTACCCCGAGTTCCCATCCTCACCGACGTTATGGTGGGATTCGTCGCCCCAACCCGCCACGTCATGTGGATCTTGAAAGGGCACTTGATCTGCACCACGAACTGTCACAGGAAATAGGTCGCAAGATATGTGGGTATCCCGCGACGCGTGTTGAAAGGGGGCCGACGCACTCTCCGGCGAAAATGTCGCAGCGAACTCCGGCTCTGAACATCAATAGCCTCAGACTATGTTACTNCCTCACCGACGTTATGGTGGGATTCGTCGCCCCAACCCGCCACGTCATGTGGATCTTGAAAGGGCACTTGATCTGCACCACGAACTGTCACAGGAAATAGGTCGCAAGAGATGTGGGTATCCCGCGACGCGTGTTGAAAGGGGGCCGACGCACTCTCCGGCGAAAATGTCGCAGCGAACTCCGGCTCTGAACATCAATAGCCTCAGACTATGTTACTCACCATGTTACTCTTCCGCATCCTCTTCTGCTTACCCACTTGGGGCGCACGCCTACGCGCCACCCCCGAGTGTATGCAGACGATTTCGCAGAGGTAATGCCTGCTCTTGTCGGTCGTCTGCGGACACATAGGCCGGATGGCAAAAAAAAATCATTGGGAACGCATTGGGAAACGTAGGATGCAACGCGAATGATTCCACCAGCTCGTTTCAGAGTGACGACGTGACATCGAGGCTTCCCTGGGCTATACAATGAACCGCCGTGCAGTCGAAACACTAGATCTGTTCAACTCACCAACTTGCCCCTCTTCTTTTGAAGGGTTAGATGCCCTTCTTCTTCGAGCTCCCCGATGACCGTGGCGAATGCGGCCTCCCACGTGTCGTAGGCTGACTCCTTCACGTCGAATGCGCGGCCAAGGTGCGCAATTCCTGCGCTATCTACGTCCCCCCACAGCCCAGTTTCCTCGTCCGTGTCTTCGTCCGTTTCACTATCCGCCCCTTTGCCCTTGCTCTTACTGCTGGCACATTCCTGCTCCTGCATACACCACGCATCAAAGGGCCGCGAGATTGCGCAGTCCAATCACAAGCTCAGACGAAGCTCAGAGACCTCAAGCCGACCAAATACGTTGTCGAGACTGGTATTGCCTGGTCCATTCCGAGTGCAAACGTTCGGGCCGCCGCAAGCGGGGCTTACCTTCTTGATCACCTTCTTGATCCCGCCTTGTTGGTCGTCTTCATCATTGGTGTCGGCTTCGTCATCGCGGTCGTCTTCATAACCCGGAGGCAAGATCGTCGGAATCCTCGTCTTCATCAGGGTCGCCCACCTTCTTCCTCTGCACACCAACAAAGCGGGGGAATGGACACAACCACAAAGCCATCATGGTCGACAGCATTCCCCCTCCCCCTTGCGTCGAAACAAGACGCGCTCGGATGACAATGGGTGTATCATACGGCATCGCAGCGGCATTATCGTGTGCCTCCATCCCTTGCCATTCAAAGTTGGTGACCGTAGCAAGCCTGTCTCACCTTTTTGTCGTTGCCTCGTTGACCTCCGCTCGATTTCCCGTCCGGATCCTCATCGTCGGTAAAGCGCCCGCCCTTCCTGCTGCTCCCCTTCGCTGTTTCCTTTTCACCCCCCGACCTTTCTGCCCATCTGACTTCCTGCCCTCCCTGCCCTCCCCGGGCTCCGACCCCTCATCCACTCCTATGGTCGACAGCATTCCCCCTCCCCCTTGCGTCGAAACAAGACGCGCTCGGATGACAATGGGTGTATCATACGGCATCGCAGCGGCATTATCGTGTGCCTCCATCCCTTGCCATTCAAAGTTGGTGACCGTAGCAAGCCTGTCTCACCTTTTTGTCGTTGCCTCGTTGACCTCCGCTCGATTTCCCGTCCGGATCCTCATCGTCGGTAAAGCGCCCGCCCTTCCTGCTGCTCCCCTTCGCTGTTTCCTTTTCACGCCCGACCTTTTCTGCCCATCTAACTTCCTGCCCATACTGCCCTCCCCGGGCTCCGACCCCTCATCCATTCCCGACCTGCCTTTCTTGTTGACCCTTCCCCGCCCTCCCGACTTCCTGGGAGCACCCGCACTGCTCTTGTCTACCTCCCTCGCATGCTTCACGTCAATCTCCACATTGCGAGCGGACACTGTTGACACCCTACACTCCGTGTCCATGAGGACGTCATACGATACGATATTTTCTTCTTCGTCTGCATTGACCCTCATGACTGTCCCCCATGCCGGGCTAGGTGCCCATGCTCCTGTGTGAAGGCGAGTACCCACGCCAATCTCGAAGAATCCCTGTGAGGATGGCGCATGCATGCAGCAACAGGCGGTGTTTCGCATCGGGGGACGGGCTACGTACGAGCACGCACGAACGCTGATCGTTCCTTCAGTGCAAATCCTCAGGGCTGGCGTCGCTGACTCGAAGGGGGGGGAGCGACGAAGAGATGAAGTCTTGGGCTTGCAATTGCAATACAACACGAAAATTCGAAATTCTAATCGACACCGTGCAAAATCGCCGTTGTAAAATAGTCAAAGAGAGGAGGACCGTCTACACCCAAAACACAAACAGGTATTGGGCACATCAACAAGTACATGCCGATGTCAGATACCGTTCTGGTGTCCTCCTTATAGGAATGCACACAAGCGTCTACGCAGCACGTTCATCCGTTTTTTCGTTATTTTATCCTTTATTTGTCGTTTACTCCCAATATTGACTTCTGTCGTCAGCCCCACTGGCCCTAATCCTCCACTACGACAACCTAGACGACCCAACCGGGGTCACACAGGATGGGGGGGGGGGAGGGGTCCTCTTCCTGCGGTTAGGGTGGATTCGCAAGCTGCAAGCGCTCCGATTTATGCCGATCATGATACTCGATGAAGCCGTTACCACTTCACATAACGGGGGGGCCCTGATGAACCTTCCACTCACCCTCCCCTCTCGAGCGAGTGCGAGTCGCTGAAACCCATGAGATTTCCTTCATAGTTGACGGATTTCCATATCCGTTGCCCCGCCGCAGTCCCCTGCCGGCGCACCCGTTGAAAGCCCGTCCTTGGTCGCCTGCCGTTTGCCCCCCTCGGACACGTCGTCGACACCCTTGCCGGTTCCTCCACGCGGCTCCTCTGGGCCGCATGTTCCACCGTTCCTGCCCTTCTCGTGGTCCATGGTGTCTTGTCCATGTCCAGTGCCATCTCCACCACCCTCACTTTGTTGGCTTCCACCCGTTTCGCCAGGCTTGTGCTTGTCGTGGTCGCTGCCGGCTAGCTTGCCCCCACTACCCACTCCAGAACCCCCACCCTCTCCCTTCTTCCCGCCGTCGGCCGCCCCCTGTTGTTGTTTGCGCCTTCGGGAGCGAGTCTCGGCCTCAGACACCTCTTCCCTCCGCTTCCGCTCCACGGACTCTTCGTCCTGAGGATGATTGTGAGGAAGGCACGAACATGACCACGCACGCGAGTGATTGGAGACTCCACTTGCATTCTTAACGGCCACGAATTCCTCGCTTTATGCTTCTTCCAACGTTCAAAAGGTAGGATGGAATCTCGGCCCCTGCGCGGCAACATAGCGACGTTATCCTCAATGTCTGCTGCACCGAAAGGTACACTGGAATATCAGCTCCTGTGCCGCAAACCAGGGTCTCACCAAGCACTTGTTGTGGGCTTCCTGTTCGGCGTTTGCCGCCGCCCCTGTTGAAGCCAATGGGACCTGATGGCGGCCGCACATGACACATCAACAATGGGCCCTTCATAACGTCAAGATACCCAGACTCACCCGACAAGACTGTGACATACATGATTGGTTGCGGTAAGACAGGCACAAGACACCACGAAGGCCACACAGGAACCACTGCCGACGATTGCGACAAATAACTCCGCAATTTGACTGCCACAGAATGACCCTCTTCCCAACCCTAGACACTGGACACATCGGGTGACTTCCCGCCTCTGGTGTGACATTGAAAACAGCATCATGTCCGAGTAAATGGCACTGGCGAACAATCGATGGCGTTATCTATGTAGTAGACGGTTAACGATGGAGAGATGACACTTACACGGAACGAATCCTCGGAAGGGCGCCTGGATGACAGTCGCCAGCAACGGGAAGGCGAACTGCTGCAGCCAGTTACAATATCCCGGCAAGTGCTTGAGCTGCGTAACGAACATCAGCCGGGCACAATTACGAGACCCCACTCGATGCTTGTTGTGCGCGTCTGCTTCGATGGTCCACCCCAGCTTAGGCAGTCCTTCTCGCACTTCATCCCCGTAGTTGGACCAACACATGAAGAAATCCTCTTGACAAGAGAGGTATGCCTCCATGTGCCGCATCTGCTCGAGGGTCACGCTCAGTCGTAGCTTCACCGCCAAGGATTTAATCTCGTTCCTCATCCCGCGGGTTTTTTTCGCGAATAGCTGGGCCACGGTGTTTAACAGGCAGTTGCCGTCACCCGCGGTGATGAAGGGCGTCCCGGCGCCTAACCCACCTACGGGCTGTACCCCGCGAAGAAGAGCTGCCGTGAAGTAGCCTTTGCTAAGTTCCTTGTCTAGTAGTTCCTTTTTCGTTTGCGCCAAACGTATCGGAAAGGAATTCGCATTGACATGGAATCCGTTAGTTCCTGCAGGTTTGAACAACACACTTGGAAATCAAAAAAGAAACCTCCACTGCAGGACCGAGGTCCGATTCGGTGGACAAACTGTTCGATACAGAGACTGAATATGAGTTAGTTTTGGTACACAACCGACTCAAGGGTGTGCCGGAAATTTACAAAACTAAGGGGGTTATCCATTATTGGGCGTGCCACGGCAGCGCCGTGACCTGCCATGGCACTGCCACGGCAGTGCCGTTGCACGCCCAATAATGGAAATGGAAAAAAAAACACCGATAATGAGTTCGAAATTATTTTCAACAGAAATGGAAATGTATGGATGAAAAACCTTCCGTGAACCTGTGGAGATACAATCTTTCCTCAGTATCAGGGACACGTCACAGGGTGTGCTGGTGTAGCTAGGTGTTGTCCTCCAAAACCACAGGAAACGCAGGAAAAACTGCTGCTGCTGTAGAAATGTGAGCAAACCTGGGAGCAAAAAATCCTGAACGCCCGGGTGGTAGCCACCGTAGGTTGTTGCTCCGATTGTAATTTTTAATTTTTTACAGTTGGGGAAGGCAGCAAAACATGTGACGTGCAAATAGCGACAAAACGCAAGAGGGAGGTCGGAGCAAGCGAGAGAAAACCAGGAGGGAGGCAAGAAGGTAAGGAATTGTACCCCCTGGCGCCACTCAAGGAGGGGATGTGGATACGGGCAACAGCAGCGAAAGCGCGCAAAAAGTCAATCGCTAGTTTCCGCCGCGTCTGTTCTCAGGGAGTGTTGCTCCCTGTTACACGGATTCTTGCAACTGCTGTGGATGCTCTCACCCGGTGTGCACGACAGGGCTCCAACTGCAACGAAGACAAACGAACAACGGCGTGTCGTAGGGCGCAAAAAGCACACCTGCGACGGTGACGGCAGCGGATTGCTGAGGATGGGATCATGCAGCTTCGACGCCTTACGAAGAGCTTCCTGTAGTCGAGGATTATCCACGGCGATGCCGTGAGTGTTCCCTCGGACGTCGTACAGGATCAGCCTAAGGTCCTCCTGCACATCAGACAGAGCCTCGTAGACGGGTTTTCCCGTCGAAGAGTATGGGTTGCTGTTCCTCCTGGCCGGCATGGTTGCTGCGCCGGTGCGGAGGGCGTTGCTTGACAGCGTGGGGCGCAGATATATCGAGAACGAGAAAAGAACGGAAACTATTTGGCGTACAACGTCTACTATCGTGCGGGCCCCCCCATATTTCCTTTGCGCTAACAACGAACTCTACATGCGTTCCCTCAACTGGTATGTGTTCACCCTAAGAATTTCACCCAACAACAGCTCCAACGACGCCCGCTACCTCTAGCAACACAGCGCACGGTGTTGACTCGTGGCCTTCCTTTGGTGAAAGAACTGAGTGGTGTCGTAGATAAGGCTTAACCACGACACCCTCCCCCACTCTAGGGGCCGCCGTGGCCCTCGGATATAGGCGTTTCACTGCACCCACCGGATGAATTTCACCCGCTACCGACTCCAACGGCACTCGCTACCTCTAGCGACACAGCACACATAGTTTGGTGTCGATTCGTCGCCTTTGGTTGAAGAAATGAGTGGTGTCGTAGATAAGGCTTAACTACGAAACCACGCTCGAGGCGGCCGGACTCCTGCGGGTGACGGTATCTACGCAGCCACCGGGCCGATGCAGCCGAGTAGCAGCTTCCGCGATAGCTGAAGATCGTGGCTTTCCGATAAACTCGGTTTTACTGTCACTGAAACTCTGTGCGCTGGGATGCGGGTAGTGTCGTTTCTAATCTTATCTACGACACCATCCCCCGGGACGCCATGGCCCTCGAATGTAGGCGTTCCCCTAACCCACCGGATGAAATTCACCCGCCACCGACTCCAACGACGCCCGCTACCTCTAGCAACACAGCGTAAATGGTTTGGCGTCGAGTCGTGGCCTTTGGTCGAAGAAATGAGTGGTGTCGTAGTTAAGCGCTTAACTACGAGACCACTGTCGGGGCGGCCGGACCCCAGTGGGTGACCGTATCCCCGCAACCACCGGGCTGATCGAGCCAAGTAACGGTTTGCGATAGCTGAGGATGGTGTGAACCCATTCGAGTCGGTTTTACGTTGATTC